CCCCAGCGGGGTCGGCGGATACTAGAGTCACTAGAGGCAGACGGACGGTAGGGTCTCATCACGTCTCGACGTCTGGCCCGGCAGCCTTGTTAGCTCCTACGAGAAGGTAGCTACATTCCCGGTAAGAGATCCTGTTGTGTTCGGATGGTCGAGCAATCTTTGTGCATGCAGTGCCGGCGCTGGAGCAAGGGCATGCGTGACAGGGTGCACCCTATGACCAGTTCTACTGCACATGGTGCTGGGCTGCTTTCATGAGACACCAGCAGATGGACTCCGTAAGAGGCAAGGACACCGTGTGGTGGAGGGAACAGTGGAAGGCCGCAACCAAAGCCCCTAGACATGCTTCCAGCACCTTCACCCGCAAAAAATGTAGAAAAAATAATGGCAGCGCCAGGCGGAAGAATAAGAAGTCGAACGGTGCACCGGCAAGGACGATGAGGACCAAGAGGACCAAGAGGATGGAAGACAAGATGAAGTGCAGGAGGGACAGGAGGAGGACGAGGATGAGCTGGAGGAGGAAAGCGAAGAAGGCGTTCAGCTTCAAGAAGAAGAGGCCCCAGCGTGGCTGCAACGAGCTGCGGATGTTCCCTGGAAGCATGGTGGTGGCAACATGAACTGGACCACGTTCCAACAGAAGGCTGGGCTTCGTCCTTCGTGCGGTGTCAAGCAAGTAATTTTCTCGGCCAGAGTTTGAATGTTGTGGCAAAAGGTGTTCTGTCAGACTGGAGAAGTGCGTAAGATTGCAACGCTATGTTTGAGGAAGCGTTGCTACTTGACTGTAGCCTTTCACGTCGCAGTTAGGCGAAAGTGCAGGTCTCCGGGACACAACCAGTTTGTTTTAGAGATGTTTCAGGCACTTCCTGTAATCTCTTGACATCGGGGCCAAGGGCCCCAGACCCAGAGCGCCGTCTATGTCAAAGGCTGGCTGAGAACTGGGAGCCCATTGTTTCAGCCGTGAGTCGTGCACTGGATTCTGTGAGTCATCCTGTTGAGGAGCATGTTGCAGTTGACCAATTCCTTCCTGAACTTGTATATTATAGTACAGTCTATATACTATAGTATTTTGTAGTATAGCACAATAGAGCATAACAGAGTAAAATATTTTCTTGGCATGACAGAGCATAATGTCGTATACTATTTCATGCTATATGAGGAGTCGATCCGTTCTGAGTGCGGTGTACATCCCGGCTTCTGTTGAGCGGATCTGCAATCTCTGCGCAGAGACCACGGGGCCATAGGCAGCCTGCAGTGACAGGTGTCGGAAGCAACAGTGAACGCAACATTCAGCACAGCTCGAAAGGGCCTGCATCTGAGCAAATCCCAACGAGGCCTTAGTGTCCTTCGTGAAACCGGGCTCCTCGCGATCTGACGGGGCATCCTGAATACTTGTAGTTTTTCAGGCAACATGTTTGTCTAAGCCTAAGCCAGGCCAGCGGCCACATTTTCCTGGAACTCAGAGTCATTGCACGACCGGGAACCATGATCCTTTCACTTGTGGCAGACGCAGTCAAGAAGCCTTCAACAACAGGCTCTGACATCTTCTTTTGGCCTTCAGGCTCACTTTGGGATTTTCCTAGACTTTCTGCAACAAAGATTTCCACTGGGGCATGGGCCGGCCACCTCGGGTCTCCGAAGGCACTTCGAACATGTCCGCAACATCTGCATCTAAGGCACAGCTTGGAGGCTGCCTTCGGCTGGCTTTGTTTCGCTGCTGCGCTGATGGCGACTCCGACATACTAGCTGTGGTGTAATGGACGTGCAGTTGCTCAGTCCCGGTGTGCCAATTTGAGCAAGCGCGGTCCCGATGCAGTATCCAGCATGCGAGCTTACATGCGACCTTCTCGTGACAAGGGCGATTCTCCGATAGAGTCTTCCAGACGGTTCTTCTTCATCCCCTGCGGCATGCGGTAGTTTTCAACTGGAGCCCTGGCTCCCCAAATCTTTCAGCGACGAAGTCGGTGCGTGCTTTGCCTGCCTTGGCTCAGAAATAGTGACAGTCCTCTTTGGACCAGAAAAAACCGGAGGCAAAATAAACTCCATTCCCAGGTGGACGGACCCAAGACAAATTCAGCCCTCAGGGCTTCCAAAGCTGTCTCTGGCACCAATGCAGCAGTCGGAGAAGCAGGACAAACAACAGAGTCAGGGAGAGGAGCACAAGAGTCCGAAGCTTGCAGCTGCCCTCCGCCACTCAAGGCATTATCCTTTACAAACCCGATCGAGCGTTTCCGTCGATGCAGCTTGGTAATGGTGCCCTGCCTCGGATGTACAGCGACTTTGTCTAGCCGCTCTGAGCGTCAGGATCCGGAGTTGGGGTCGGCTTTGAAGGTCCTATCACTGATGCCTGATGTGCACGTTGCTATGTGGACAGGCTTTACATGCTGTGTAACTCCGGCACCAGACCTCTGCAAGTGTGTAGTTTTGCCGCATCCGCAGCGCTAGGTGCAACAAGCGCCGGAACCAAGCGAGCTCGGCGAGAAGGTGTGAGCTCTGAAGACGGGGAGCAGAGTGTCCATTGCTTTGGGACATCAGCTTTTGGTATGCTCTGCTTTGGTGTAACGCAGTCCATTCCTTAAGGCTTTCTCCAGGCTGCCGTTAGCTTAAAGAGTTTGTGTGTGTGTGTGTGTTTGTTTTTGGCTGCGTGCTGCCATCCCAGCCCAGCCGTTTGCTCAATTTACAAAGCTTCCCTTTGTGCACCTGAGTCTCGATGGACACTCTGTTCACTAGGCCTGTACTGTGTTCATCATCGCCTTGTGCCTTACTCTACACATGTTGCCCTCCTAAGTTCCATTTTTGCCTCTTCAGCAGCTTGAGCTGTTCGACTGTTTGCGGTGTTTCTGCAGCAGAAAGGAGATATTCTCCATACCTCAGGAGCCTCAGCACCTGTTCCCCAACATCCCCGCTATACTCCCAGTAATCTTGCCTAAAGCCCATACAGTCTTGGAGAAAGGATTTTAAACTAGATCTTTTGACACTGGCTCCGCAGCGCTGTGAGCCACTTGGTATAGCGGCCGGGGTTTTCAACAGTTCGAACCAGGCGCAGTATATTGCAGTATCATGATAATTAATTTATGAACCGTAAGGGCGTCAATGCATGCAGTGTTCAACCAAGTCGTTGATTTCTACGGAGGCCTAAGAAGCTGGATCCCGAACCTCGACTCCTTGATGCCTCGGCTCTCTGGCTCGGGCCAGAGAGCCAAGGAGAAAGGTTGCACACCTTCCGTGCGCAGTCTGGCTCGGGCTATCAGGGTCAGGATGACATCGCGGTTTGGGAGGAGTATCGCCACTCTCCTCACGTTACATGTCTGTGTAGTCACTCTAACCAATGTCTGTGTAGTCACTCCAACCAAGCGCAGCCTGTCCCGCTTAGCTGAGTCTCAAATAGTCATTAAATAGTCTCAACACATTACAGCCAGCGATGCGTCTTGAGACTGCGGCGTTCCAGACCCGGGCAGCGTCCGGCTCGGACTGGTGGGAATGCAGCGACACGCTGGCTCTCCCACACGGCAACAGTACGCGTAGACACTAGAAGTGACCTGCTAACTTGAGGGCAGCAGCATTAACGAAAGCGTTCAGTTTCGACCTTGCGTAGCGGACCCCTTGATGTGTAATGGGTGGCGTGCAACGCATCCACCCCCCCACACCACACCCACACACCCGCACACACACGCACAGAGACGGGAGAGATGAGGGGTTGTACGAGGGCTGCGTAGTGACTCTTGATTCGCAATTTAGTGTGTTGCGCAATTCCACCTGCACCGCACCGACAGCCCAACAACCAAATGTTCTCCGGCGCTAAAGGTGGCAAAGCTACCTGCTCTGTTCTTTTCTGCATGTGCATCGACCGGAGCCCTTGCAGTTTGGAAGGTGGCAAGGTCCAGAGTCCATATGTCACGAAGTCACGAACAACCTCTCAGTCCAAGCTGAGTTTCATGTGTGGCTAGCGCAACTCTCGTCCTTTCTTCCCAACAGGATCAGGTTCCGTGCGTTGCGAGACAGGGTTGCGAGCTCAGGGGCAAAGAATGGTGCAGAGAAGTTCTGCACGTGCGAATGTCAAGGGTCGTCATGCTTGTGATGAGATGGCTCGGGCCAATACTGCACCGAAAAGAAGACCCCAGTTTGGGGTCTGCGGTTGATTTAATGCCCGGCTCACAACTTCCCATAATTCAAGGCCCTCTGCCAGTTTGGGCAAAGGGAAATTGTTCACGTGGAACACACGAGCTACCAGGGCCGCGAGAAAGAGCCTCCAACAGTCCAAGCCTTGCAACTCACCCCTCGACCCCTACAAGGCACCTAGAGTTGTGGAGTTTTGACCGGCTTCACTCTGCCGGCATGAAATGCATGTTCAGAGCAAGATGACTTCGTGCCAGTGTTGGCCGGACAGGGGGATCCTAGTACGCATGGAATATCCCCAAGCATAGCCTCGAACACTATGAAGCCGTCGGCAGCTCGGGCCCCGCGTTTGGTCCGCCTCATGTGCATGGAGCGGATACAACTCCGCCTAAAGTTCCGACTCGATTCCTACTTGCAAGGGGCTCTCTCCTGGGATTCCAAGTGACGAGCACACAAAGTCTCAAAGTGCCTGGGCAGAGTGTGCATTCTTGGCGACTGGTACGTAAAATGGCGACGTTACATCCGCTCTAGCCAGACGAGAGGACGGAGCAGGCTGGAGTTCCGACCAGGCGACAGAGCCATGCAGACGTGGGAGCGCGGTGAAAAAGTGGGTTCTACACAGGTCTGCGGCAGCGCTTCAACTTGCTCCCCATTTCTCCCCCTACCCCTGCGAAACTATTCCCTGTGTCTGCGCAGCTGTCCGGAGTTGGATCGTAGTGGCGGTGGTGGAGGCGGAAGGGCCCGGCAAAGGGAGGGCCTATTTTTGTCGCCATTATGCTTTTGCACCTTTGGCCTTTCTTTTCTTGCGTGCTTGGTATTAGTACTACGATATACTAGTAATAGAAATAATCATAGTAGTAGTAGTTGTGAAGAGACCTCGATGCCTAGTGCAATGTTGTTATCCCATGTATGGACTGCCTTGGGCATCCATACGGAGTAGCTATGAGACATGTATCATTGTGACGATGGACATGGTGGGAAGCCATGCGCTACCCCATGATCTATATAACTCCGGCGAATGTTTGGCTGAAGCTCAAAGAGCACGAGGCGAAAGGTACATATAGCAGACGCTATATTTTCTTGTTTCCCAGGTGACAGCCATTGCGTGTATCGCCCTTGCACAGACACTTCGACTGCCGCAGCGAAGACGCAGTAAAAGGAAGTCCGAAGTTGCCTGCAAGGGTTACGACAGTCAATCTCTTACAGTGGGCATACAACTACAACATAAAGCTCGGTGAGGTGAGCAATCATACGGAATATCCAGACCAAACCCTCACGCAGGTTATCAGCCGTAGGCTCTGCATACACAAGGACTTTGACATCGTGATAACACACGAGCAATGACATCTGGGTCAAGTGCAGACACAACTATGACCTTTGGTGGTGATATGGCAATGCCGGCAGTCGCGGACTCGACTGTCGACGAGGCTACAACAATCTCTGTGGATTCAGCAACTACAGAGGAACAGAGGAAGTCAAGGACATCGG